CTCATTTACAGTCGTCTCGTTTGGCTCGTTACTTTTCTCCTCTCAGTAGGGTTGTTTACAGCACRCGCGATTTCCAGTTAGCTTCTTAGCTTAGCCTCCGTCACAGCGACATACGTCGCAGCCAACTGATCCAATCATTTTAAACTTCAGCAGAGGCCACGCCTCTTGCAAGAAACACTTTTCTATGCAGCAAGTCCAGACCCTTGTACGAAGCAAAGTGGACGACAGGGTCTGGTTTAAACCAGGCTAGTTATTCTCTTGCATTCTCTACATTTTAAAAAAAAATGGTTAATATGAGGGATCAGGGTTAATGGTTAATTTTAGTTACTGAGGTCTGGGATAGGCTGTATAAGACTAATAAAAGTTAAATTTAGGTCTGGGATGGTTAGTTTCACCCATTTCCTACTCTTGTAAAAAAAATAGAACTCGCTCATCCTCCTCCACCTCATGTCATAAAAAAACTCACGCGCAGGGGGTACCCGACGCGTCAAAACAGGATGCAAAAGGCTACCTGACCAAGCATCAATATTTTGACGTGGTTGAAGTGAGAATGCGTTGAAATAGTAGACTGTGCTTTTTAAAAAAAATCTGTATTTTTCTCAAATCATGCAGCTAAACTCACAAAGTATTTAAAAAAATCACTTGCACCTTTTATTTTGCACAGTTCAAATACACTTAGTCGTCCTTTAAACAACAATTTTCCATTTTGTTAATTTGATTTGCTGTGCTGCAGCGCTCTCTCACACACACAGAGTGTGGAAAAAAAAAAGACGGACGGTCACAGAATGACTGAAATCAAAGGGGCCCACTTTTTAAATAATGTGTTTTAAACTTTAGATTTTGGGTAAAATATCAAGTCTTTTCAAGTAAACAGGGTCAAGTCCAATTCAAGTCCAGGTCATTGACATAAAAGTCCAAGTTAAGTCACAAGTCTCTGAACATTTTTTCAAGTCAAGTCTAAAGTCATAATATTAATGACTCAAGTATGACTCGAGTCCAAGTCATGTGACTCGAGTCCCCACGTCTGCTCACTGCCATATGCCTTCATATGCCCACACTGCAGACAGCTTGGTGCTTTTTGTCACTGCTATCCGTAAAGCATGACAGTGAGTGTCGTGTTCTCAAGGGCGAGAAAATACGTTGTGACATGAAAAAAAATAAAAAAAAATCAACAACTAGCAGTTGTTTATGCGAGCCGAGCTCACAGTGTGAAAGTGCTCCCCACTCACCTGTAGGATGCGGCACCACTCTGACAGGCAGGTAACGTCCTCACACGGCTGGAACATCCCCAGAGTCACACAGTTGAGCAGGATCACCAGCATGGACACATGCTCGAACCAAGTGCAAGTGGAAAGTTAAGGTCAAAACAAACTTGATGYCATTTGATATCAACAGCACCAAAACATAGGAGTGTTGGTGACACTGAATCAGTTCTAGAGATTCAACAAAACAACCACTGATTTCATGAGCAATGTTCAGTGAGTGGCAATGACAACTGAGTTCCAGTGCACAAAAATATTGATTGATGATTGAAGAGCTGCTAATCTCATTCTCTACTTTTTTTTTCTCTCTCTCAAGAACCATAAAATAACTTTTCAATGAGTCAAGATCATGATACAATTCTGATCATTAGCAGGATATAAAGGAGCAATACTGAAAAGATTTGAACATCATACTGTGAGTAAGAAACAGTAAACTCCAACTGGTCAGTGTCTAAAGTATTTTTGGTGGGATTTGTTTTGTGAAAACCTTTTGTACTAATATCTTGTCCAAAAAGAAGAAGCTTAATTTAAAGGGTACAAATGTCAGATGTCTTCTCTGACTCGACTAGAGAAGCACTTCGGGGTAATCTYATGTGGATTACCTTCTACTTGTTTAATCCTTCTTTTATCCTTTTTGGGCGAGCAGTGAGATTATCTATTTAGGACAAGTTAGGAAGAATATAAGCAACTGCTTTGTTTTTATTTCTTCTTTTTTCAGTCTTAAAGTTTTAAAAGGAGCATTGAGATTCTATTTAGCCAGCGCTGCTGTCTTATTTCATTAATAACAAACCAGACACTAAACATAACAATTTGATTTGAATTTAATGTTGTTTGAGTGCAACAAGGTAATTTAAATGGACATYTATGAAAGGGAGTTGCTCATTTTGAAATCCTCCTATTTCTCTTTTGTTTTTAAAAAAACATAACCCCCAAAACTCTTGGTAATGTGCCGCATAATGCAATGTGGAACAAAGATATTTATTAAGGGAACAAACATGCAGCACAATCTAATATGACAAATCCAAATAAATTAATAAATAAATAAACCCAACAGCACAGCTCATAATGTATGCATAACAGAGAGAATATTATAGTTATTCTGAGGCAACTCTAATTTCAGAATGTCTCATCATTATAACTCTAATTTCAGAATGTCTCATCATTATACCATGAGGGGGAAAATAATCCACAGCAAGTAAATCAAAGAAAAGAAAAAAAAGAAGAAGATGATAAGTTGGAGAGAGAGAGAAAGAAAATCAAAAAGATGGTTCATTAGAATAAATTAGGGGAAAATGATGGAGGAAGAAAATGGCCTTAAAGCTTGTTTGTACCAGAGAAGAGGACAGTGAAACGGTTCCTCTTTGACTTGTGCACTGAGCTGCATCGCAGGGCTGAAAGTGCTCTGGACGGATTTCCGGCTCGAGAGCGAGGCAGCCTGTCTCCGCGATGGATTTTTGTGAAAGTGAGGTGTAGAAAAAAAAAGTGTGATTTATTCTTCAATCTAGTGTTGATGGAGGGTTTTAACTGACACTGGTTTCAAGCAATAAAAAGAACCAGAGTCACAATTTTGGCCAATCAGAACAGAGCAGGTACAGGTGAAATAATCAGCAATTCTCTGACTTTTTTCCAAGAAGGACACCTCGATCCACTACCAGATCGTCCGCCACACACACACACACACACACACACACACACACACACAC